TATATATATATATATATATATAATTCATTTATTTTAGGAGTAAGTTTATCTAAATTTATTTTGTTTAATAATTCATGTTTTATATCAAATTTTAATGATCTAACCGTTGAATTTAAAGTTTTTAATGTATAGATTAAATTTACAAATTTAAAAAGAAATTAAAAATTATTTGATACTTCATAATTCAAATTGACGGATAATTATAAAATTATTTTATACATTAATTTGAATTAATGAAACGAAATATTAAATAATTTTCAAAATTTTTAAAAATTTATAAATTTGATCTATGCATTAAAAGTTTTAAATTTAACTATTAGATTGTTGAAATTTGATGTAGAACATGAGTTATTGAACGAAGTAAGTCTATGTAAACAGATATCTTCTCTATCTATCTATCTATCTATCGCTAGTTTACAAGAAAATATTAAAAAATGCTTGGTAGCTAGAATTTTTTAAAAAGTAAATATATTCACATATTTATTGACTCAAATAAATGGGTAATTCTTACCAATAATCCTTTATTGTTGTTTTAGTTTATACAGCTACCTTTCTATAAGTAATTTCAATTAATTACTATTTTTATTTTTATATTTCTCGAAGTAAATATGTAAAATTATTGAATTGGGTCAAATTACATTGTTTCCTAAAAATAGAACACATGTTATTAATCTAATGATAATAAACAAAAGATAAGACTGTGTTTTACATAAATTGAATATTTCTCTTGCCTACATATTATCTTATGAATATCATCTTACCACACAAGACAAAATGTTTTAAATCTTACAAGTTTCATCTATTAGAAGATAGTTATATATGTCTTACATACAGCAATCTAGTAAAGGAAGTTTTCTAAACATAGTGCAATCAAGAAGTCTTGTTAACTTTTCCAAGTCAAAAGAAATAAAGAGTTTACTCTCACACCTCAAAAAACATAAAACAAGAACAAAATAAGATACATCAACATTCATATTTCAAAAGAAAGATGAGTGTTTCAATAAATATTTCCAAGCTTTTATAAAAGGATGAGAAAATAAGATACATAGACTCTAAAGAACTAGTATTAACATAAGTTGCACTTAAAATAAAAAAAAATTCTCTGTAAATTCTTAGTATTTGCTATGAACATTTAGTCTAATACTTTGTATATTCTTATGTGATTGTCATTTGTAACCATTTTTTTTATTTGCATAGAACTTGAAAAAGACTTGGTTAATGAGTTTTGGTTAAAAAATTAAAAATTCTTGTAACTATTTGAAACTAGATTTCCTATAATTTAAGTAAAATTCTTAACAGGTGTTTTAAGGACTGGGAGTAAACATTGTACCCAATTCCTTGTTTTAAATTTCAACCTTTCTATTGAACATAGTTTTCAATTGAAATAAGCTATTCATATGTTTTTTTTTATAATCATAATATTATAATATAGAATTGTTGGAGATAGTAACTAATCATCGTTAAAATCATATATATTTTTTTATCCAGTAAAATCATATATCATTTTAAAGCATATTTATAAAACATTTGCAAATTAGAAACTTTTATGTTTCTCTATACTTTTTAATATATATATATATATATAAACTTACAAAAAAAAAAGCATTTATGTAACACTCGTAGGAAAAAAAGACACTTCATATCTCTTAAATTTTTTTAAAAAATTAAAATAAAATAAAAAGAGATAATAGAATAAAATACTTTAAACATAGTGACATATTATTTGAATACCCCAATTTTTTTTTTTACAGCATGTATTTGAATACTCATTAAAACTTGTTAAACTTTGAATCCTATATTGATAAAAAAAAAATAATAAAAAAAAACTTGAATCCTATAAATTCTTGAAGTTTTGTTTAGTATTTGAAAATATATACAACATTATGATAAAATGGTTATACAAACACACAATTAGTTATTAAATTATGGTAAGTGTAACTTGTTAATTATTAAGTTACCTTCATTAAATTTTTATTAAAATCTTATTTTTTTTTTATATATTATTGCACGTGAATAATGTTTGTGATGATTTAATCAAATATAATTTAAATGGTTAAACCAACCCACTAAGCCTCCCTGATTCATTGTTAGTCGGTGTGAACAGATGGATCAAGTGGTTTTCATGAATTCGATCTGTTGTCGGTAGGAATTCTTCGAATTTTTTTTTATATATATAAAGAGGAATTCTTTAACGTTTGCACGTATAACATTATCTAATTTAATAATCGTATATAGAAAAAAGAATCATATAGATGTTTCTTTCCCAACTAAGATCAAATATATTAAATTTTTTATTAGCATTTATAAAGGATCATCGTTGTTATAATTTTTAAAAAAATTATTTTAAAAATTAACAAACCTATTATATATGATTGTATGTAATTGGATGAAAGGGTATATCAATTATTTATTCTTTATTAAATGGTGATGTTTAAGGAAATTACATCTTTTTTTTTTTTTGTTTTTAAAATGTTCATTGAGAAAAATACTACTCCGTTCATTTCTTTTTAAGCATTTATTCTTTGAGAAAAAATAATTTATTTATTTATTTATTATTTTAAACATTTAAGATAATATTAATTTTTTTTGTCTATTATATTTTTACTTTTCAATTAAATTTTAATTATGTTATTTAAATATTATGAAAGTGAATCAATTATATATATATATATATATATATATATATTAATTATAAAAACCACAATTATCTCTCACGGAGGGCAACTCTAATAGAATGGTTTTTTTTTTTTTTTTGAGAAATCGAATCTTAATTAAAAACCTTATTATTATTGTTCTTTAAAACTTTATAATTAAAAGCCTTAATTATAAGTTACTTTCTCAATTAACCTGTCATTATTTATTAAAAATACAACTGGAAATCTGATTGGCCCTGATGTAAAAACCTTAATTGACCTTAAAAGGCACACTATATCACAACCATAATATCATGTTGCTTAATCAATTCAATCGTTACAAAAGAATAAAATACTAATTGTTTTATCTCAATTCACCATCTTATTCGTACATGCCAAAATTGCATTCGTAAGTCAATAATAATATTAATGAATAATGAATTTTTTGTTGTTGAAAATAATATTGTTAATGATGGAACAAAAATTTAAAAAAAAAATTGGATCAAATGAATCAAATAAAAGAAGACAAAAAATAATTGAATGTAAAAAAGCAAGGGATCTGAGACTGAGACAAAAAACAAAGAGAGAAGAGAGAGATAGAGTTATAGAGAGAGAGAGAGAGAGAGAGAGCAGAGACACCGTTCGGTGCTCCGCTGATTACGGTTGTGGCCCCACCGCTCCGGTGAGTCAGTCACTACTTCGATCTTCATCTTACCATTTCCTTCAACTTGATCTTCATATTCATATTCTGCCCCTTTTTCAGTTGTTTCTAAGTTGCTCCACCCCATTATCAGTTTTTGTTGTTTTCTTTTTAAAATTTTAATCTTTTTGGATTTTGCTGAATACCCATTTGAATTTTGTGATTTAGTTGCAATGATTTTGATCCCTGATACTGTTTAGGGGAGATGGGGGCTTTAGAGTTTTTGTTGGGTTCTGGAGTTGTTGAGCTTCAAAAACCAAAGTTTATGTTAGAATCTCTCATGATAGGCCTGAAGAGAGTATTTACTTGTATAGACGGCGTTATATACTATAATTAGGGGGGATTAAGGCTTGGTGTTTGGTTATTGTGTTTACTTTATGAGAATCATTGACCTTGTTTTTTAGGAGTTAACACAATATGTAGTAGTTTAGTAATTTCCTTTGTTAGACGTTTTGTATTCTGTTTAAGAGCAATTGGTCTTCTAATCAAACTATTAGAAAAACAACTACTGTAACAAAGTTCAGCACAGTTGATAGATAGCTAAGTTCCTGATGTATATTGTCAGAGGAGTTTGATTCCTGGCTGTGTTTGGTGAAAACTTGTTGGTAAAGACAAAATCTACTTTGGTGATCTCTACATCTCAAACGAAGTTAGTCTTTGGTTGTCGGGAATATCCTTGACGAAAAATAAATGCTAATAAAAACTATCAGAAAAACATTTTCTGATAGTTTATTAATGCTCTTATGCTCAGATGTGCATTACTTTGCTCAAAAAGTTGATTTGATGGGTGGTGTGGTGTGTGCTAGCTCGCTTGCACGTGACTTTGCTACCTTGTTGGATTGATTAATGATTCTGCTATTTTTGTGTCTGTGCCCAATTAGTTTTTGATATGTTGGAAGATCACATAAGCCTGTTCTTTTGAGCCTTGCTTGATTGCAAATTTGTAGCTGTTGCAGATCACTTGTATGTTAGACAGTAGACAGATTTTCTTTGAGGAAGTATTGTTCATTGGAAAGTGCTTCACTTTTAATTAGGGTATGTGTGTCTACGGTTTTTACTCTTGCTTTGTGGATACCAACATGGAGAAACAAAATTAGGTGAATAAAATGATAAGATACTTGTGTGTATTATTAGCCATTAGGGTCTCACTTGCTAAAGATTGACTTAGGTTTTCCTTGTAAAGTTTGATTGCTTTTTTTATTTTTTTATTCACTTATTATGATGATGCAATGTTATTGACTACTAGGGTCATCATAGTCACATAGTATTTGAATACCCATTTACAGCATGTATTTGAATACCCATTAAAACTCGTTAAACCTTGAATCTTTTATTGATAAAAAAAAAAAATTGAATCCTATAAATTCTTGAAGTTTTTTTTAGAGTTTGAAAATATATACAACATTATGACAAAATGATTATACAAACACACAATTAGTTGTTAAATTATGGTAAGTGTAACTTGTTTATTATTAAGTTGCCTTCATTAATTAGAGAAGATAATTGTCAGGGGTCTGAACTGATTTACTGAATATATGTACTATAAGTATAAATGGTCTTAGTTATAGGTTTTTAAATTAGAGAAGATAATTGTTTGCTGTACTGTCTATGAGGTTTTTCTTTTTATTGAGGTGTGTGGCTTGGTCATCATATATTCCTGAAAATTGTGTATGCCTCTTCAAATGGGTGAAGAGGGAGTTGCCTATTTTTTTTTTTTTTATAGCTCTTGTTTATATCTTTTATTTTATCCATAACCCTTAAGCAAAGTAAGTTTTGACAGTGATGCCTTTCATGTATGACAACATTGGTTTGCATTCCCCTTCTAAAGAAACAAGTGGATTTCAACTTTTCGTTGCTAGAATCTGATGTTTTCTTTACTCTGAAGAGCTTTATGAATTCTAACCATTGCTAGAGTGTGAAAGTTATTCACAAATGTCATGTTTTGTGCAGCTGAGAATTTTCTACTAACATGAATATTGTTGCAGCTGCAGTTTTACACTCAAAAAGGACCTCATGTCTAACATAGAGGATAACAAAGATCTTGGACAGATGGACGTGGATGCATCTGAAGAACCAGCGATGCCATCATCTCAGAAGCAGGTGGTATTCAAATCTTGCCTTTTTGCATGCTTAAATTAAAAAATAAATTTCACTTTAGATGATATAATCTCTCTACTGAGAGTGAGCCTTGGCACAATGGTAAGTTTGTTGCCTTTTGAGCTGGAGATCACAGATTCAAATCCTGGAAATAGCCTTTCCACTTGTGTGTGTAGGCCTATGTACATATACCCTTCTCGGATCCTCAGGTGGGAGCCTCATGCACTATGCCGCCCTTATGGGATTCATAATCTCTTTACTATGAGGTTGTTTTACTTCCAAAAGAATTTCTTATTGTGACTTACGAGTTTGTAAACCTTGTAGGAGGAAACTATAAAGAAAAAGTATGGAGGAATAATGCCCAAAAAGCCGCCGCTCATATCTAAGGTGCGTGCATGTGGGTTTCTCTCTGTAAAACTTGTTTATCACTTACGTTATGAAATCAAGATGAGATGGTCAGTGCCTATGAGTATCTAATGATGAGTGCTCATTTGAATTTTCATTTAAAATTGAATTTTCATTTAAAATTCAATTTTATGCTAGGACCATGAGCGTGCTTACTTTGATTCTGCGGATTGGGCGCTTGGAAAGGTACTTTTGGAAACAAGACATTTGTAATAGTTGCTTATATTAAATTTTCTGACTTTTGTGTGCCCTTGTATGAAACAGCAAGGCGGAGAGAAGCCTAAGGGACCACTAGAGGCTCTTCGGCCTAAATTACAGGTATTTAGCCAATATTCTCATACATGATTTAGATGCAATGGCAATGCTCTCTATGGCTTGATAGTAATTGTTCTTCTAAGGTGTCAATTGTTAGTTCCTAATTACAGGCCCAGTAAGCCCAACAATGGGTGATCCATCATGATGCCTCAGTCACTGTTTCTTTTACTATCATAAAGGATGTTGTTCCATTGCCTCCCCTGTCCCTTACCGCCTCCCTTCTCAACCTGTTGTTGAAAAATGAAAAGTTTCAAATTTGTAATCATCCATCCAATTTTCACAGTACAACAAAATTAATGGCCTGTTTGTTTAATTTTTTTCCTTAGAAAAAGTACCTTTTTAATTAAAAATAGTCTAAACAATTTTATGGTTAGATTAGTTTTTCGAAAATAAAAACTCCACTTATGGTTTCATAGCCAATCCCAAGCCTGGGTAAAGGAGGAGGGTTGTGTTAGGCCCTTGAAAACTAACCTAATACTTGTTGGTGTACCAAACATGCATCTCTTATCCTAGTGGCATAAGGATTTGTTTGAATAAGTCTCTCTAGGAGCACTTCTAGAAGAAAAAATTGGAAGAAAATTTGAAATAAGCTTCTCCATAAACTATAAGTAACTTATGCATAAGTGAATAGAAGAAAACTTCTGCAAATTAGCTTATATATGTAGAAGCTTATTTCATTTTCTTTCATATATATCACTCCTATAAGTGTTTTTGGGAAAGCTACCCAAACAAGCTCTAAGTATTTGTGTTAGTTTTTTGAAGAAGAGTAAAACCCAAAAATGAAAAATAAATAAATAAGTAAATAGTTCCGGTGCATTTCTTAGAGTCTAGGAAGAGTAGCTTCAAAAGAAAAAAGGGGATATATCATGAAAGTGCTTTCTTTCAAATTTTATCCAAATGCACCGTAAACCTAGTCATATCTGCTATTTTCATGTAATGTGCATGACAAATTTCTTCTTGATGCTTATGCTTTTCAGCCGACGCAGCAGCAAACACGGTACCGGAAGTCTCCTTATGCTCCTTCAGGAGAAGGTATGTTTTTATTTTGATTTCTTGGTTTGTGTGTCTTAGCTTAGGTGGCATCTTCAAAATGAAGTAACTAAATTGTGATGTGTTGTGCTTTTGATAGAAGGGGGAAGTGTTCAAGCGGAGGATTCACCTTCCAGCGAGTAAACAGCAATCAGTCTTTTGATGATGTGCTGACTATTGTTCTAATACCTGAGTTGAGTAGGTATCACTTTTTGTTGTTTTCAACAATAAAGGGAAGTTTTTCATGTATTCATATTAGCACAAGACAAACAAATACAAATCATTTGGCCTACCCAATAGACATTCACTTGGGATTATGATTTCTGTGTTACTACTCTCTCCTCTCCCAAACACCCTACCATCTATCTTTATTTGATTCTTTTTAAGGCAATAAGGATAAATAAATTACAAAAAAAAGGGGTAAAATATTTAACTAAAAATCTGGTTTTTACGCCGATGGTCATGTTAGTCTCTACATAAAAAAATATAAAAAAAATTATTTTGGTCCCAGTCTACTAAAAAGTATAGCCTATTGAGAATTCTCTACTTATTGTGGTTTTATATTTATGAATATTATTAATTTTGTTTCACTAGTAGTTAAGTGAAAATGAATTTGATTGAGTCTGGTTGAATATAAATTGAAAGCGTTGTTGAATTTTTTTTTTTAAATTTGTTTATAAGCATTTTGAATTCGTATTAACAGAGACTATGCTTGATATGGTAGATGCTTGTGGTACTGGTTAAATTTATCTCATGTTGTTAATAATGGTTAAATATGTCTTAGAACCAGTTAATAAGTGGCCATTGGGTGGTCATTTTCATTCATATAACTGTTCATGAATCAATATTCATTTATAGAAATTATAATGTTAAACTTGGTTATTGTCATTTTTTCGTTTAAATTCTAATATGAAATGGGGTGCATTTCATTTTGTTCTCTTCATATAAAATACTCTAATCTAACATCAGATATAACATTGGTAACTATAATTATTTTAATTTAATAATTTGAGTCTTAGATATATAATTTTAAATATATGAAAGTTGAAAAATAAGAGAATATTTTTGGGTATATAAAATCAACTCGCTAGAAGTGTCATGAATTGATGATCATTTTTAATCATCAAGGCAAGCTCAAAAGGAAAGCAACTTATCCCATTATTGAATTTAAATTCATCAACAAATAATTTTAGCCTAATTTAAAAATAATTTGTATTCGAATTGACTATAGACAAATCAACGTTTACAAAATTGTTGTACTCTATTGTTTTATGTAATATTAAGTATTTAACAAAATTTAGTCACTATTTTTGCAGTATTAATATATGATTATTAAAAAAATACAATATCAAGTACTGCATTATAATTGTGATTAACAAATAATACATATTGGTCTAAGAAAAAACAAATAACTTAAATATTTATGTTATCTATCATAATTTAGAAACTTGTAACAATCTCTCGATTTTCAACAATTCCAAATGATTTTCTCATTTATTTTTTACAGCCAAGTTATATTAATAGTTTTAATACTTCATTCAAATTAATAGAATTTTAACTTTCACTGTAAAAATAAATCATAATAAATTTTTTACCTAAAGTAAAACATAATCCATTATTATGATTTTATCATAATTATCTCACCAAGATTTGTAGCCAAAATTAATTAACGTATATTTGGATATGCATGATATAATTAATTTTTATTTAACATGAATTTACATAATTGACTTTAACATGACTTTCATTTGGATAACAAAGAATATGAACTCATTCTCATATAGAATGTTATTTAGAAACTTAATGTTATTTAGAAACTTGTTATTAAAATTGATTTCAAATGTGTAATTATAAATCTAAGCGGATAAAAGTTCAAAACTGATTTTGTTTAATGAAAAAGCTACTAACAGTTGCTTCCAAGCAAATGTAAATTTTTGTTTCTCGAAATTAATTTTACTAATAGTTAAGGATGTGTTTAGATATGCGTTAATATAATTAATTTATAATCAACGTGAATTTTCATAATTAATTTTGAATAAATGTAGGTTAAAAATAATGTAATTTTTGTTTGTTTGAATGACGAAAGATATGGACTTAATTTTCATATTAAATGTTATTTAAAAATTTATTATCAAAATTGATTTTGAATGTATAATTATAAATATAGATAAATAAAACTTCATAATTGATTTTATTTGATAAAGAAATTATTAATAATTACTTTCAAGTGAATTTTCACATTTTAAAATCTATTATATTAATAGGCAAACATGTTATAAACACAATTTCAATTATTTTCGATGCAATACAATCAAAGTTAGACATATTTGGTGAAGAACTAAACATATCCAAACATGCATTCAGCATGACTTGTGTATGCAGTTGTGTTAAATCTTAGGGCCAGCTATTTTACCCTTTGAGGTTCTTCCAACGTAACGAGAAAATTAGTCACTATTATCGGCGGTAAATACTCAAGGGACGAAAAAAAAAATAAATAAATAAACATATCCAAACATGCATCCAGCATGACTTGACTCTAATCATTTTAGATACAATAAAATTAATTCCAGACATTTTCTTTGGATTCAAACATACTCTTAGCAGATTGTTCTATACGTATATATTAAAAGTATTTTGGATATTGCTTTTGGCAAACACGGACATCTAATGCAAAACTATTTGATGGAATGAAAAGAAAATTGGAGACATACCACGAACCAAAACACTTGCTATCCATTAAATAATTTTTTTATTAAAATGTCATCAAATTTTATAATTATTAGTTATTGCAAATAAACGATATTTATCAAATATGAATAAAAAAAATCTAGAAAGGTGTTCTACACATCTAATAAGGGGGGAATGACATAGGTAGGTGACTAGAAGAGTGAATGCAGCCACTTTTTCAAAAGGTTAAGACAGATTCCAAGTCATTCACGTTAGACTCTCATCCAGTGTTTTAAATTGCGTACGGCTTCAGCTATTGCGGGACCTTATCCGCAACAGCATCAGCATCATCAGATCGCAATTATAGTGAAATCGAAAATTACACTTTTTGTGTTTTGTCTATAACACATCGGTAATACGACAAATTGATACTGTAATTTTAAAATAAATTAAATTATTTATTAAAATAATAAAATATTTTTAAAAAAAAATTAAAATATATAAATCTTTAAATATAAAATATATATTGATAATTATAAACTTTTATATTTAACAAAAATAATTAATAATTTCATATTACATCGACCTTAATCTGTATCGCAATACTCACAACCACAATAAACATGATCGCAACCACAATTTAAAACCATGCTCTCATCTTTGGGGGATAAAGAGCCAAGGGAGCATAATGTTAGTGCTACAGTAAGAATATTGCAGTGGAAGAGTGGAGAAGGAACAAGATCAGGTGAATGCATCGGATCGAGGAAGACATACCAGAAAATCGCACCAAAGGTGATTTGAATACATGAGGACTGAGGAGAAGATCAAATGTTATGTTTGGATAGAAAATTTATATAGAGTAATTTATTTATTTGAATAATTTTAAATTTTTTGAGGTGAAATACTTTATTTGGATGAATTTATGAAATTCTTTAAAATAGTATAATTTCAAATTCTCTCAAACATTGAGAAATTTGAAATTTTTTATATTTGTTTTTCTTATTTCATCTATATATTTTATCTTATCTTTTCATTCTTTTAATTATTGGATATTCAAAAATATTTTTAAAATTATTAAATATTATCTTATATTAATTTTTAAAATTATTAAATATTAAAAAATAGATTAATATTTATT